GACGACGATAACAACACTCTAAAAACGCAAAGGCTCATGGGTAGATGCATGTTTGTAAACAATGACACGCTATGACCATCTGAAGCATGCGTAGGTGACGACTCCCCCGCTTTAACCTTTCACCACTTTCTCACCCACATTTGTTTGCACTTTTTTCTTATATTCTTCAATATTTCTGAAATGAAATGATTTATGAGCCAAATTTTCAGTTTTTACTCAAAAAAAATGTGGCTATTTTTGTCCCAATCTTCTGACTATAAAAGGGACTATTTTGTGAATTTGTGATGAAAAGAGGGAACTGGTGGAGAGAAGGTTAAGCTATAATCTCCTACGTATTAATGAAGCTGAAAAGAATCTTTGGCTGTTTTGAATGAAATTTATTTTCACTGATTTTTGATGACTTGAATGTAAAATAAAGGAAAAAAATTATATTCGTTGGATTTTATTTTCACAGAATCATTCCTTCAGCGAAAATAGCGAAAATTAATTCCAAGCGAAAATAAGTTATTTTACAGTACACCTTGGATGCACATGGCCGTCAAGATCTTTTTGAAAGCAAGAGCCACAATACATGTTTTTCGCCCCTCAAATAGCATTCCTTCTTGGAAATGCTCAAATGTGGAAAATTTACTTGTACTTTCACCGGAAGAAATGAAAATTACTATTTGAGTCACTTATTTTCACTGATATTTCCTCCAAATACATGATTGCATAAAGTTATGTATTTGTTTATTTTGCACATGAACACTGACTTTGCACATAACTTTATTTCTAAATCTTCAGGTTTAGGACTATTTTGCTCTAATAGTTTTGATGATTAGGAACATTCACTTCTAATCCAAAAAGTTAACTTTCAAAGGCTGCAATGGAACTGTTGTTTTTCACAGCCATGCTTACTATACTTATAAATATACTACAGTAAAATTACATGTATACACCAATCACAAATGTTTATAATACTTGCTTATATACAAAAAAATAATTTTTTTTTCCTTTTTTTTAAGATTATTTACTTGTAATTTACAGATCACAACATCAACAGAAGATAACTTACAGCAGTATATTGCACAGTGCTATTCACGTTTTTTTTTTTAAATTTTAAAATGCATGACTATTACATAAAACAAAAACTGCATATAGAGTAAATATTCCAAGTCAGCTAATATTAGCTGGTAGCTTTATTTGACAATTGTTACTTCTCTTTGAGGGAAAAAACTCACAGTCACAACCATATATATAAATTGATATTAACTCCTTGAGCGCCAAAGTCAACTTTTGTCACATTCACAAAATAAATTACCGTAAAAACTTCACCCACTCTAAAAATTCAACCACCTAATTATTTGGGAATTTTTGTAATTTATTGACCTCCAAAATTTTGACCTCACCAGAAATTGCTCACTTACTTTTACTCAAAAAGTTTGTTTAGAGAGATGACTTTCAATAATTATTCTATTTCTGCAAATGTTTATAACCGTACTTTTATATTTGTTGAATTTTCACTCTAAAAATTTGACTGGCTGAAAATTTATCGTTATTTTGTATTCTAAAAACCCGACCGTTTCTCAACAAAAAAAAACTATTAAAAGTTTTTTCGGTGTGTCATGTTTTTCACAGATTTTGTCCAAAACTTTGATCTTGACCTGAAGCTAATTATGTCCATTTGGTCAAAAAAGTCCAAAATGCTGCGTCAAAAATTTGGTTTCAAAAATTATGCCTCAAAAGGTTTAGGGGTTGATGTAAAAACACAATTGAGATGTGACTATTCCAATAATTTTCACTCCAATATGGTATTAACAGAAATAAAAATATTCTTGAAAATCCGTTCAGAAAAAATAATTTATTATGTCATTATTACAGACAGTATCAATTTAATTTATTTTAGTTATGTGCGAACGAGCCTTATTGTAAAATACTTTATTTTCGCTTGGAATTAATTTTTCGCTATTTTCACTGAAGGAACGATTCAGTGAAAATTAAATTCAGCGAATATACCTTTTTTCCAATATTTTACATTTAGTGAAAATAAATTTCATACAAAACACCCAACATGTCTTTTCAGCGAAAATTAATTCCAGCTAAAGTATTGTATTTTACAGTAAGGCTCGTTCGCACTGTCGTTGATACTGTCTGTAATAATGACATAATAAATTATTGTACTTTGTTAGTCGCCAAATTATTGCTGCTGCAAAAAAAAGAACATCGCTCAGTTGTTCACACATATTTTTATATTTTCATGCTATGATACATATAAAAGAAATAATAAACAACTTTTTCCAAATATCAACGGATATTCCAAAATGTTGGTAAATACAATATTATAACATCATTAAGTAGATATTTGTATAACCATCTCATTTCACAAAGTTACACGGAAAATTCTTCTCAAAACCACTGACAGAAATACAAACTATCATTCTATTTTTTGTGGAAATGTTCTTTACATTGTGTTGTGCCCTCCATGGTTGCAACGAAGGCTGTATCCCATATAATATCAATGGTGCACCATATAGTAGTAATGAGGGTTGTAGCACTGGTGCCCTCTACAGTCGAAATGGTGCCCTCTATGGCAGTAACTAGGTTTGCGCCCTGTGTAGTAGCAATGGTGCCCTCTATGGCAGTAACTAGGTTTGCGCCCTGTGTAGTAGCAATGGTGCCCTCTATGGCAGTAACTAGGTTTGCGCCCTGTGTAGTAGCAATGATGCCCTCTATGCCAGCAATAGCGCCCTCTATGGTAGTGATAAGTATGTTATGGCAACAGCACACAGTGACAGTACACCGTTTGATGTCAGCATGTAGACAAAAGGACAAATTCACATACATCAGCTTTACTGTCTAAGAATTAGGAATACAGATGGAAAACGAGACAATCCTGACATCATCATCTATTCATCGTCAACAATCAGATTTTTCTGTACAGCCTCTTTTTGAAGTTCCATTAACTGTCTGTGATAACAATAAAAAAAAAAAAAGATTATATAATATGTTCATCTCGTCTACACTGAAGTCAGCCAAGGCATGCTTATTTTTATAAATATACTTAGAATAAATTATAAACCCAACAGTTTTCAACTGAAATCTAAATGAAACGACTAGATTGGCGAGGCAGGCACCTCTTCAATTCTACAAAACACTCACACATCAATCAAACGTAATCCTACACTGTGTAACTACTGTTTATAAATAAATGAGTTTATAAATGACTGTATGTACATATTAGCTGAGATCAGTGTATTCCCATTGTTACTTACATACTGTACACATCATTTTCCTTGCTTAAAATATTTGTAATTAGATAATATTCTTTCATTTTTGATGAGCATGATACAATCCTCAAAAAGTGAGATTCAATATCTTTCACAATGACACTTCTAAGAATGCCAGTAAAAAGAACACATCTTGGCAAAATTCATAAAAAGGGTTTTTCTCCTCTTAACGTTGACAGCATTTCACTATCACATTTTCAGCGAAGAGAATACATGCCTCCATTATTCACATCAGAACACCAAAAACAAAACAAAAAGCATCTCCAATCTAATAACAATGCAATTACTTGTAAATATTGACTGACATTATATCAAACACATGCATATACATAGCAAAAGTCAGTATAGAATGATCAATTAACAATAAAGACTTACTTTCTAAGCCTGACAGCTCTGAGTTGCAAATCACTATCACGTTGTTTTATACGTACTATTTCATTCCATGCCTGGTTATATGCTGACTGGTTAACCATATGTTTCAGGTAAAGACCAGACCAAAGTAGCTGCAAATTATAAAATGAAATACACAATCTTAACAATCTTAATTCTCATTCATTTTGGGTTCATTTTCAGCAGGGAATGTTTTATAATTATCGGCTCAAGAAATTCTAAATTTTAGTGAATAACACAAAGTGACACTCATCACATAATATTCAATGTTATGCAAGTTAAAAAAATTCATTCATGCTTGATCAAGACCCAGTTTCTGAAAAGCAGAAATGTCTTGTGTCAGAGAATTTTTACAACTAAAATGGCCACCAGTCGACCATCTTGAATTGGAGTGCACACAAATACTGTAAAGTACTTTATTTTAGCTGGAATTAACTTTCGCTGAAAAGATTTTTGGGTGTTCTGTAAGAAATTTATTTTCACTGATTTCTGACTAATTGAATGTAAAATATAGGAACAAGCAGCCTGTCGGCTGAAATAGCTCCGCTGTTAGCAATGCACATTTCAATTAAAGAACTGAAGATAGCATTAGAAAATGAACAATATGCATAATATCAAAACAATTGGACTTACGGTTTTCAACAAGAAGTCGAAAATATCACTTTTCACCAAAAATTACATAAATATTCATCAAAATTTGAGAATTGGATATATCATCACAAAATGAACAAATCTGAGAGAGGTCCACATGTAGTATCTATATATGTAATATCAAAGCAATCATAATTGCGGTTTTTAACAAGAAGTCAAAAATATCACTTATTACCAAAAATGACAAAAATATTCACCAAAAATAGAGAATTTGAGATCTTGACAAGAAATGTACAAATCTGAGAAGGGTACTTGCATATCAAATTTAAAAACATTCTGACTTGCGGTTGCGAAGAAGAAGTTGAAATTGTAAAGTTGACGACGACAAACAATCAGTAATATGAACAGCTCCGCTGTGTAGACTTTGTCGACAGCGGAGCTGAAAAAAGGTTATTCGCTGGATTTTATTTTACACTGAATCATTCCTTCAGCAAAAATGGAAAATTAATTAAAGTATTTTACAGTATCATGGACATCTGCAATCCATATGTTTACTGGTTTGAATGAAATGATTGAAGTAGGTTTTGGGAATGATATGAACAGATAAGTAAGTAGAAGGTGGTTAAAGCGGGAGGGTCGTCACCTGTGCACACGCTGGAATTGAGTCCCAATCGACTGTAATAACACACGCTAAACCGCAAAGGCTCATGGGTAGACGTTTGTTTGTAAACAATGACACACTATAGCCATCTGTCGCATGTGCAGGTGACGACTCCCTCGCTTTAAGTATTGGATTAGTATTTGTTTTAAGAATTTGAATAATAAGTATAATAAATATTTCTTACCAAACTTTGTGGTGCCACTGATGGCCATATGACACTGGTATTTTTCTCATACAGAGGATTTAAAAATGTTTGTAATATTTCTGGTCTATTGATGTATGACCTGTAATAAAAAGTGAATTCAGGTCATATCTCATTAGCATATTTAGTCACATGTTCAATTTATTAGCATATTTGGTCACATGCATATCTGATTAGCATATCTTATTTATTCATGTACACATCTCACATGAATGCACATCTCAGCATATTTCACAGGCTTATTCACCTCATTATCATACCTTGAATTTCACGCCCACCTCATTAGCATATCCAGTGTGCATGCCCACCTCATTAGCATATTTAGTATGCATGCATACACACCTCATTAGCATTTTTACAATACCTACACATCTCAGCATATTTTTTAGGCTTATACACCTCATTAGCATATTCAGAATTCATGCCCACC